TATATATATATATATATATACATTCGCGTTGCGATGCGTTCGATGCCGAAGGGACTGAAATGTATCTCAAGGCTCCAAGTATATTCTGCGACAGAGGCGAGATGAAAGTGTAGCCGAAAACGAATGTCTCAGCATTGGACGCATCGACGCTTCCAGAATTTAGGAAGCGCCGCGCCAATCGAGTAAAAAGGCACCTTAGATCTTCATTAAAAGCGGACCAGTCTCGCCGTCGATTTTGCGGGCTTCATACCGCGGCATCGATCGCATAATTCGAGGAGGATACATCGAACTTGGCGAACTTTCGTTCGCGCGTATGAAGAAGCGAGAAAAGGATCGTTAGGGGCACGCATTATTAGGGATTTCTTTGGCCTCCGAGAGCGCCCGCAGGTCGAAGGCTTTACGAAGCTATCGACAACGATTCGCGGAAACGCATTGGACAGGGTTGTCACAAAACTAGAAATTAAGGAAATCAGAGAAATATTAAGGAAATTGAAAACGATCAAGGAAATCAGGGAAAATTTGGAAAATTAAAATTTTTATAAAAAAGTGTAAAAAAGTTTAATATGTAGTATACAATTTTGGAAAACTGTATACTGTATTTTTATTGCCGACTTAGCAATTAAATGCAAGCAGTGTCAGCAACATTAATAGTAATTTACATTGCTATGTTAAATTGCAACAAAATACTTGATGATTTCCAAATCAGGATGAAAATACAAAAAATTTCAAAATATTATTGAAGGCATCAGAGAAAATCTGATAATGTCATTTTGTCTGATGAAATCAGAGAAAAGTTACAGAATTTTAGGATAAGGAGTTTATGACAATCCTGTTGAAGGTTCAATCCATTCTAGGAAAATCTTTAGGAAGCAAAGACTCGTAGCCGCCTCTGACGAGGAGTGCCGCGCAAGGGTCCGCACTTCGAGCATCAACGAATGGAATGTTAAGAGTACTTACAATTAGAGTTTATTAGGATTTATTAATTTCCGTTGACTTTTTTTTTACCGTGCAGCCCGAAACCGTCGGCTGAAACGTCGACGATCGCTCGGGGAACCGGTGTCATTTAGAGTCAATTCACCTGTGGCAATTATTAATAGTAATTAGGAGGGTTCGTGGAGTGATCTAGAGGATTGGGGGACTAGAGAACGCGCACGTCCCTCGTCTCTCGTTTCTCGGGACGCTGTCCGAACGTCGATCAATTTGAGGGTGCCCTTAATAGTGTAATCGAAGTCAATAATGTACCTTTTTAGATGTTCTCTCTCATAATTATAAATATTATAATTCCGCCCGTCTTTTTATGATGTTCCCATCATCTCCAGCGGTTCCCAGAAGATCGCACGGGGAGGCCGACGACGATATATCTATCTCAAGTACACTTGTACAAAATACAGTAGAATGCTTGCACAAAATACAGGAGAACGTGAAGCAGTGTTTAACGCAAATAATGAAGATAGAACCGAAGGGCATAGCGAAGATCAGATGTAATCGTGTTGTTGATCTACCGGAATATAATACGTAGATTTTATATCACGACATTATGTACTTAGATTATATACATCTTACCGTATATATACATATATACATTACCTGATTAATTAAGTTATACAGCCGTCTCTTCTCTACTTGCAGTATTATACCAGTCTTCGTCGCGTATATACGTTTGAATACGTTCGTACCTGTTAAATTGCGAAGGAGAGAGAGCCCTTCCCCGTTGTATTCCTCTGTTGTATATAAATCATTTTTCAATTAGTTTCTCCTTTCCGGGATCTCCTCAATATCTCGCTTCGCATTTTAATTCTGCTTTCTTCTTTGTAATGGCGACGCAACCGCGGTCGATGACTTCGAAAGTAACATAATTATAACAAACACTAACTATTATATAATGTAAGACATATTTAAAAAAAATAAAAGAACTGTATACAGCATAAAGAAAGTAGACATACAACGAATACAATTACATCGGCTGCGGCTGTAATAGCCACGCTATTTTGCCGCTTTCGTATCAATCAGCCATTGAGCAAAGTTCCATGATTCCTTTCCCTTTTTTGCACCGTTCGTCATACAAAGTGCAAAAAAAGCATGCGAATCCGGGATCTCTCCAACCTATGTCTCTTTCCATCGTTATTCAAATTTCCAGAAGTATATCCTAACGCGTCAATATATATACATATATCTAGTCATAGCTTATTACAG